TCGCAGTCTTGCTCACCAGTGTAGATCACCAACGTGGATGATCTATGTCGAAATGATTGGAGGCTTACTCGAGTTAGACGTGAGTGGTGTGACAAACTAGCTGACGTCGAAGTCACACTTCGCGGTCTGCACCTTACATAGATTACCCCATTGACGTATCAAGGTACTATAGATGCTTTGAAGACTGTACAACACAAAGGACGTTATTACAGAAATATATTAGTTAAAGTAGATACAAGCGAAGGTAAGACCACTGCCGCATGGGCCAGTCCATGGTGTACGATTAACTGATGCGCGTTGGTTGTCCTTGACCTCGACGAGGATTGATGATTTTGTTCGATATTCAATGGCTAGGGCTCAGTGGAATTTCACTGGCCCTACAGTATCCTTCAACTCATCAGCTTAATCGCCCTTTGAGATACCAAATATCTCCATTGAATGATTATTACAGCCAGTATCATAATCCAAGTAGCTTCACACCTTAGCATTTATCTCACACTTGTCTATGGACAGCTCGTCGTCGTCTACTATGTCCTTACATTCTAATTCAGCAATATCAACCTCTTCTTGGAGATCCAAAATCTCAAGCTTCCTTTCTAACTCGAGTCTCTTTTCCAAATTGTTCTTCCTTAGTAATGCCTTACCTAACTTTAATCTAGAAGTAATAAACTGACCAGAGGACATACTATTAATACTAACATCATCACGTTTATCATTATTAACACCAAACATACCACAAACAGCTTTAGAAATTTTACCACCCATTTCGTCATTGTCCTTCGGTTTTTGGCTTTGCGTTTCCATCTTATGCCTTTGATTCAAAGAACGGGTTACCAAAACAAAACTGGATTAATCCGAACGAAATCGACCAATAGGACCAGAAAATTGGACACAAAATGTCTGGACAAATTTAAGGTATGAACACAGAAACAAAAATTGAAGAACTTTATGGTACGTCAAAGTTTTTGCTCCTTCCTGTTGTTGAAGTACGGTATATCTATCTATTTGCAATTTACGAACCTAAATTAACAATAGAACCAAACTCCAATTTAGGTACCAATGTTTATTCGCAATTTACAATAAGTCGATCTAATTGTCCTTCAAAATATATCACGTTTCCGAATAAATAGCTAGTTTGAAAATGCCAGAAGTATGAACATGCGCTTTAAGGAAAAGTCGGGATTGTTAAGTGAATAATTAACAAGGTCAAAACGTGACTCAAGCGGAATGGGTAAATTGGCCTGTCCAGAAGCTGGAATAAGTTATGTGGGCTTAACCGACACGACAACACATAATAATTACAAAACAAACCTTTAATTTTGTAGGTTCCCGGAGCAAAAGTCCCCGAATATCAAACCAAAAAAAGAGGGAGCAGACTGTCTGAAAGTAACGATATAAACAAACAAGTTCAGGAGTTGAGTAAAACAAGTACATCCAAAAAAACAGTGAAATTAATAATATTTAGTTTAAAGGTTTTAATCAGCTAAATGTCTTCAGTTTTCTCGTAACAAGTAAACGAAGTATATGTATACTAGCTTACTTACCTTTTTGCCTGTTTTGTGTCTTTACGCAGATACGAGTGTAATTCGACAGATACTTACACATTCTTGGACGATTGGATATGATGAAAGGCAGACGAAGTTTGCGATGAATCAGAATTTTCACTGTACTTGTTTCTTGTTACAACAATGTACCACATGGCCTCTCATATTAAGGAAAGACAACCAGATGCTGTTGAACATAGCAAGCTATCAGAAAAGTGTTTATAAATGGTTGGGTTTAAACCTCTTGCGGTTATTACTACTCCACTAGGGAGTGATTGGACAGTAGCGGTAAACAACCCCCCAAAATACTTAATTCTTCAACGTTGACGCTGACCTCACTTGTTTTATTGAACACATCTTGTTGGGGGCGTTCGTTTACGCATTCACACCAGGTCACACGCCGGTACGTCACGCCACACTTTCCTTGCAACTGCTTTCCGGACTAGACCAAACGCATTCCGACATGTCGGTAGTCTTTCAAATATATCTTCGAACTCCTTCACTTCAAACTCCTGATTTCACTGGCTTGGTATACTTCGAATATAAAAGTGATATACATGAAGGCATTGTCGAACTCCAAATACCTGTGATATCTTTACACAATAAGCAGGTAGAAGTATAATACGTCTGAACGCCAATAAAGTTGGGATATTTATACGTTTTAACTGTGAGAAAATGAACTAGAAGTCATTCAAGTTGATAGTTAGAGAATCTTCGAATCTAAATGTTAGGGGTAGGAGCAGTCAGCCAGTCACAACGCTGAAGCTGTACGTATGTACATCGCCTGAAGTTTCCATACCCTGTTAGCAATAATAGGTGCAGTTGAGGAATTTAGAATCCCAGACTTTAGGGAATACGATGAATAGATGCACCTCTGAATGCATGCGGCATCTTTAGATGAAAACATCCAGAGACTAGATGAACGATATAGTAAACTGGCCTGTAAATGCACCCTCCACTCCTTATGTGTTGTAGTGTCGCTTAAGCCCACATAACTTATTCCAGCTTCTGGACAGGCCAATTTACCCATTCCGCTTGAGTCACGTTTTGACCTTGTTAATTATTCACTTAACAATCCTGACTTTTCCTTAAAGCGCATGTTCATACTTCTGGCATTTTCAAACTAGCTATTTATTCGGAAACGTGATATATTTTCAAAAACCCAAGACAGTATTTCATAACTATTTGCCAATATTTGATCTAGTTCCCACACAGTAGCCTGTTAAGTGAAATTTTTTCTATTCGGTTCACAGGCGAGCAGAGGAGTCAAGAACGAACAAAATACCAATGGTATACAGGTTTTGACATCGAGTTATCAATTCTTTGAACATATTACCCGAAGCAGTGGTGTCCGCACCTTCAATTGACTCATTCAAGAGAAGGCTGGACACTCACAGAAGAATACTAGAAAAGGAATAACTTAAGCCGTAGGCCTTCTTTCTGTTTTTAAATCAACTATTCTTATGTGCTACTAAGCAGTCAGTCCCTCAATCGGTCCCCAAAAGCCACATGCAACCTACGATCATCAAAAACCGCACTCTTCGTTTGTTAAGCCGTAAAAGGCACTGTTGGGCAGAATACAAACAAACCGACAACAACAGTGAGTACAGGCAATACAAACATATAAGGAACATATGCACGGAGGCTATAAGAGAAGACAGGCTTCAGTACCAGTTAAAGCTTATGGATAAATTTATTTCCAATCCGAAAAGCTTATTCCGTTACGCAGCCTCTCTTCGTCAATCCAAAACTGGAGTTTCTCAACTGCTAGGTCCTAACGGCCCGACAGATAATGACGGTGACGCCGCTAACCTTCTGGCTGAGCAATACTCCCGGACATTTCAACCGACCCACATCAACTACACTGATGACAGCTTCATCTGTAACGTAACAAGACTTGGTGTTCCGAAAACTGCAGCACCCAAGAACAGACACTTCTCCTGGTCCAGATATGGTCCACTCTGCTATACTGAGAGAAGCAGCTTCAATCTTGGCAACATCACTTAGCGTGATGCTCTCACACTCGCTAAGTCAAGGCAAACTGCCGGAAAATTGCAAGCTGGCTCATATCACAACAATCTTCAAAGGAGGTCGACGCAGCAAACCCTCAAGTTACCGACCGGTGGCTCTGCTTTCTATACCTTCAAAGATCATGGAGTCCCTGATATACGATGATATACATGACTATCTGCTGTCCTTAAATTTCTTCTCACCCCAACAGCATGGTTTCAGGAAGGGTTATTTCTGTATGACGAACCTGCTGACCGCGGTGGACAGATGGACAAGCATCGTTGATCGCAAGGGGAAGGTAGATATTATTTACCTTGATTTCTCTAAAGCTTTTGATAGGGCTAATCATATATGTCTTATCAACAAGCTCAGACAATTGAGTATCAAACTACCTTTAATTGACTGGCTCAGTTCATATCCGACAAATCGACATTTTAAGGTCAGGGTAAACTTCAGTTTATCACAGGCTATGGAATGTCCTAGTGGGGTCTTCCAGAGCTCAGTACTGGGACCTCTTCCTCTTCCTGATTTATATAAATGATCTTCCTCAACAGGTAACGTCAGACACACTGCTCTTTGCCGATGACGTAAAACTTTGGAGAGAGATACGCAACCAAGAGGATATACATGCACTTCGGGAGGATTTGACTCGACTTCAAAGTTGGGCAGATGATAACGAACTTACCTTTAACACTTCAAAGTGTAAAGTAGTCCATCTGCGACACGTCGCAGATTACAGTTACAACTTAGGAAACTCCTCTCTGATAGTATCCCGAGTCGAAAAGGATTTAGGAGTTCTGGTGTCCTACGACTCAAAGTCTTACGCCAACTGTGACAAAAATGCCTTTCGAGCAAACCTTGCACTAGTAACATTGAAGCGCATTTTTGGTCAGTTTGACGGGAGAACTTTCCACATAATCTTCAATAGTTTCATTCGTCCCCATTTAGAGTACGGGAACATAGTATTCCCTCCTACACTCCAAAAGGATAAGGACACTCTGGAGCGTATCCAACGGTGAGCCACGAAATCAGTTCGGGGACTCAAATTTAAACCTTACGATGAGCGCCTCTAATCACTCGACCTTTACCCATTAGAGTATAAGCGTCTTAGAGGTGATATTCTAATGGCTTACAGTATCCTTAACACACCTGGACACCCTCTTAAACACCTACTTAAGCTTAGTCTCAACACTAACCTAAGGGGTAACACCCAGAAACTGGAGATACAACATAGTAGAACGGACTGCAGACACAATTTCTACTCCTTAAGAGTTGTCAAATGCTGGAAATTGCTGCTGGCCGAGCTAGTCCAAGCAACTTCTCAGGAGTTCTTTAAGAGGCGACTTGATCTATTCTTAAGGACTAAGGATAGTATCTTACTATGATTTACCAATTTCTTTTTTTTTTCTCTTTTACCTATACCTATGTTCTTGCCTGGAGGTATTGGTGATCCGCTGCTATTAGACACGGAAGCCTGTTAAGCGAAAGCTTCTTCTATTCCGTCCACAACTATTTGAACCATTTGAATAATCTGTAAACGGAGGGATATTTGAGAATTGTGTTACTCAACTATGAGTGAGAATAAGTCGGACGATGTTTTGCAGCATTTTATCAAACATACTGAGAAATCAAATGTAAGAAGGTCGATCATTGTTCAAGCAACTAAGAGGAAAGCGTCTAAGATTGCACTAGTCGCATTTGGTTTTGCTTGTGCAAGTTGTATCCTTTAATTTTGATAAAACATACGCAAAAGTTAGTTGTAATTGTCTATATATATTACTATCAAAGAAACCAGTTGCGTATTCTTTGTAACGGTCAAATGATTTAGTGCTTAAGAGCTAAACTTCTTTCACATAACTCATCGGGACGTAAAATCGTCCTCAGTCAATAACTCCACAACACCAAGCATCCTATTAACCTGCACCTAGTTATAGGTTATCTGTGATTTCGTAAAGTTTTATGTTACAATATTGTTCAGATATAGTTAAAGTGTCTGCATTAGTAACGTTACTCCTTATAGGAAATAATATTATTTCCTATAAGGAGCCTGAAATATATGTTTCAGGCTATAGTGACTATGGTAAACTATTTCCATTTTTGCAGCAATTATCATGTTTAATAATGAACTTGAGCTTCACCGTATTATGCAACTCAAATATAAAATGTTCAGATAAAACCACGTGTGATGTCCGATTTTCAGACGCTTCTCGTTCAGTAATGGAGCTGATGAACATCATTGTTTATGCTTTTAGCACCGTTTCGTGTATGCGGAATGTTATCAACCTTAGCCATTGGTTGTTGTCCAGGCTTTTTACAGTCAGATAATCCTTGCAATATTTTCGAGCTTCTGTCGCTAAGAGAAGACGTTTTGGACAATAGTTGAGCGCTTCAGCTAGGCTCTAGATATTATTCACCAACCCAAAATGGAATTTTGGGCTTCCTGGTTTCCGTTTGAAGAAAATAAAATGCTGGTAAGACTATCTCACGCGATGAGTTTTTGTCAGTACAGCCCTTCTTGGAATCGGTCTACAGGAGCTGAAACCATTTGTTGATGGTTCGATAGGAATGTCGTTAGTCATATAATACGCACGTCATCCTGGCCTTGTAAGCTTGCTCGGAGTGCACTCGTGAATGTTGTTTTCCGAAAGGCGAGAAAAAAACGAGTTCATGTCAAATACGAATTTATTAAGCAGTTTATTGACTGATTATTTCACCTCGAGTTCTTCCGTGTATTAGGCTAAACAGGTTTACTATAGCTAGTCTCTCGTAATTTAGTAAACATAATATTCTGACAACCAGTTCGGTTGTGATTTCTTTAACGTTTTGGGCAGCTTGCTATCTTTTTTGAAAAGAATGAGATTATTCATACGGAACACTCGAGTTCTGGGTGAATAAATCCTGCATACAATGTGGTGAGATATTTAGTATTCATTAGTTCATTTATTATTAGTACATATATAGGTTTGCAAGTAAATCACTAGTAGTGGGTATTTGTATAATCAACCTTTCGCTTAATTCCTTAAAGAGCATTTAGATGTCTACTCTTTGTATGCTATAAAACGAAACCGAGAGCTTGGTACTTCATTCGATCAACTCCCTTCATATACCTCTTCAGAGTGATATAGCGAGCTTTGATATCAGTTGATGCTAATGTGTACTCGGGAAGTCATCTATATTTGTACCTCATCCTTAGGAATCGGTTAAATATACATATATTCATAAATATTCGGTCGATATTCTCCCTGTGTTTACTGTCTCCGTTGTTTCATATCAAACATTCGTGGTCATTTAAGAGTGGGCTTAGAATAATTCTAAGAAGGAAAAAACATGTGGCATCCTCGAATAGTTTTCTAGTCGTAGTGATGATGCGAGGGCTTTGTACTCATTAATGAGTGTAAGAGGACCTTGAATTGTGAAGTTATCTAGGCTATATTTATATCAACCGTTTTATTGCAAATAGATTTGACTAGAACGTACATGTTTATAAATTTGATGACGCAGACGATTTGTCTTAAGTGTTGATAACTCGAAAAATTCCAGGCTGGTATACAAGTTATATGTAGTGACTCATAAACCAACTTCTGTTCATTTTCATCCATTTTCAGTACATTCTAATTATATTTAGTTGCATATATATAAGGCGTTTGTGTGCAGAGTATCCGTTTTCTGACAGGGAATTTATAAGACATTTATTGGAGAAACATGTCACTGTAATTTTTCGGGTTATCATGAAGCAGTTGTATTACTCAACTAGTGTATGTCGACACAAGAAAAGAGCCTTCGGCTATCATATTTGTCGACACTCCTGAAGTATGCCACCATGAACGATCATTCGTATCAATTGAGAACGTATTGATTAATGGCCAAGTATGTTTGCTTTGTTTAGTGATTCGTTATGTAGGATAAAAATGAATTTAAACACCAGTTTAATATGGTCGCTAGGACTTATTTTATACAAAAGAAATAAAAAAAACTCAATTTCTTTGTTGTTTTAAGTCATTAGGTAAGTTCGCAACACAGTGTTTTGTGTGTTACTCGTGTTAAGCAAGAAGTGGGATATTCTATCTGTCGTTCACTTCCTATCTGGTTGGTACTGATCGACAGATTCACTACGCTGTTAGGTGTATGAAGATGTAAAAATTTGAGATCCGGTAACTTTAAAATTGTAAGTTCCGTGACCAGTCGTAACGGAGAAGTGGTTGAGTGTTAGTGAAAATTTGAAATATTTTGTGTGGTATGTTTTTATTGTATTTTTATACTTTTGTGCCTTTAGTGATTTTTATTTCTCTTCCTTGTTATCGGTTTAACGCACTACCAACTTAGATTATTGATGGGAATCCTCTTCTGAATAATCGTTCTGTAGTACGTATAGAACATTTGGCTATTTTAAACTTTTAACGCTTTATGCACGCTAAAGCAATTAATCACTTACAGATTTTTGATAGACCAATAGCAAGACGGAAATGTTATGTATTTTCATACGTTTCTAATAGTCTGATCACATACTTTTCAGAGCTCTTATATATGAAAACTGATAAAGGTTGAAGGGGATAATTGGGAATAAAAGAGAAAAGAGGATAATTCAATACGGAAAGCATAGGAAGTTAACATACTTCCCTAGACCGTAAACTGCTTTGAAAATTACCAGAGGAGATGTAAGGTTACAACCACTTGTTTATGTTTATATGAAAATTATGTGGACAGATTTCGTGTTTATAGTATGATAATCTTGCAAACAGATTAACCGTGCGATTTCCAGTGGAACAGAGGGTGTAAACAAGTCATGAAATCGGATATAACAAACGCCCATCAACACCTTGACTTTTTTGATCTACTTTGTTCAATTTTATTTTTTGTTGTGGCTATAAATTGACTGATATCCATTTTTGTTTAAAACACTCAGTGTAAACGTGCCAGATTCATATGATTAAATTCTAACTGTTATTAAGCCTTATCAGCCAATTAGTAAAACTGAATGTCATAGTTTTCAGTTTGGGCCATGGAAATCGTTGAATTTCATTGAAATCATGAACCGATCAATATTAGACTATTATTAAGAACCTGGAAGTACTAGACGGTCATTTCATCCTAGTGTGGGGCTCTTCGGCAGTGCGCCCCCCACGATCCTGCACGCGGAATTTAAGCCCAGGAACTTCGGTCTCGCTCTCGAACGCTTAACCGCTAGACCAATGGGCCAACATCCAACGGTTTTAATGCTTAACTTCATGACACGGTTGAACTCAACTGGTCACGGCTTCTGGGAGATTCAAGAGGGAGTTTTGGGAGTTCTAGTGAGAAACCGTGACCGATGGAGTTCAATCGTGTCGAGTATAAGACAGTTATCCACCGCTTTCACGATATTTATTACTACTGGTATAAGTTATAAGAAACTGAGCTACATTCTAAACTCTTAGCACCATAGCTGATATCCCTCAATTCTTAATCTTAATTTCGTTTTCTATATAATCTTACCGTGTGTTTAGACAGAAAGTTATTAAGCGAACATTTGATTGCGCTCTATCATTTGTTTCGAGATAATTAGAAATTGTATTAGTCAACCAGATAACATCAACATACAACCTAGCACAGTTATGCGTTGGGGGTACCATATTAGCACGACGAGATGCACCTAGCAACATAAACAGCAAAAAGGATCGAAATAATGTAATTGTTGTAACATTGAGAATGACCGAGTGTATACATATGTCAAATAATACCGGAATCCAAGATCGAGAGGAAAGCATCTGCTTCATTGTGAATGATTCAGTCACTCAGTCGCGGCGTAAAAACTGGTACGTATGTACATCAGCCTAAGTTGTGTCCCTTCAGCACAGCGAAACGACAGTGTCAGGACAAATGCCGAAGTAGTGGTAGTGATAATGAATAATTTTGTGCCGAGTCATTCGAATTCTTCAACCACTTGTCATGATTATTGCGTGTACCTCAACTGAGTAATCTGCATCGACCAACAAAGCTCAGACCGATAGCCACTGACTATAAACTAATTTCATGTTTCGATGACCCCTCCTTAACTTTCAACTAGACTACTCCTATAATGCCGCTAGTTACCGTTATGATATGAGGTGAGTGGACATACGTAACACATTTCCTAACCAACTTAAGCAGTAATGATTCATAAATTCATCAACCAATTTGTCACTTCTTTTTAACTACTGGTTATTTGAGCCGAATTGTAGTTAGCCGACAGATGTTCCAACAACTTTGAAAATAATTTTCCGTGAGTGATATCGGTTAGAGCTGGTTTCACGAAAAACGAGTTCTTATTTATTAAGAGTAACTGTCCTAAAAAATTAATTCCTATTGTAATATTCTTATTAATGATGTTAATAACACGTAGATCAAGGAACTACTGATATTTTTTAGTTTTGGTGGTTCAATACATGGATATTCCACTAGACTTCAAAACTAGATAAGTTTAAAATGAAATGTTTCTTCCATGGCTTTTAAGTATTGTACAATTATATACGAATATGTATAATATGGGATTACAAGTGACACACATGAAAATGTGCTTGAATCAAAGCTAGACGTAAGTTTCTCTTCGTCTCAATGTATTTTATTTGTAAATATTAGACAGCTTGAAATTTATCGGTGATATTCAAAGAAAACCCTCCAAGTTGCAAACTGGTCGGATTACGTAGGAGAATATTCTGTATGTTGATCAAAGTTAATAGTTTAGTCTTTTAATATTGAAATTCATATTTCTGATAAGGTTCTAGGAACATTGTTGGTAAACTTTTCTTCACTTAAGACAAAAATGTGTTTCTTAATAAAATTTTATTACATTAAACAACTTATTGTTTCAAAAAGTTTAATTGTTGATGCACTCTATCGGCTTGTTTAAAGACCGGTATTAATGTAAAGTTTAAAAACATGTTCGCTCGATAGTCCTCAGTTTTGTTAGACTTAAAGTAAACTCAAACGAAGTGCATTTAACCCAATTACTTATGTATATTTAGTATATTTAAACAAAGTAGACAGCATCGAAAGTAAGATCTTAAGGACGAAACTACAGTCATAAATATAAAATGGTTTTGCAACTGCTCAATATTTTTTTCCATATTTTCATTAATAGTCATAAAGTAAACTGACTGTTTATTTGGCTACGTTATAAGTATGATGCGTTACGGCGAATTGTTCCACTTGTTGACCAACGTACTATTTTGAACGGAAGAAAGTTCTACTGATGGTAATGGTAATTATACAAATTATGAGAGTTAATGAAAAGAATGTAAATAATAGCAAAAACCAATTACAACTGAGTCTATGTTAACTATCCACACATAGTTCTCCCCAGAGTGTCCGGAGGTAACACTGATATGCGAAACAAATGGGAGAGAATACATACGCGCAAAAATAAAAACGAGCGAGACAGAAAAATGAATATGCGATGATATTTTGAGGGAAGAGAAAAGTCTTTTGGCAATAGATGGATGTAAACTGCATATATGACATGCACGTTAGTAATGTGCAATGTATTAATGTACAGGATTATATGAATGTAGTTGAACACAACGGAAATGAAAATGCAGTTAATAATGGTGTTTTAGGTTGCTAATAATAATAAAGTACAGAACTATTGGTAAACTTACAAAAGAATTAAATTGTTTATTTTTGTTTGATTATTTTTTAATAATTAATGGAAAGAAATCGGAAATTCACTTGTTTATTATTGTTAAAAATTAAAAAAGTGTAATAGAACGAGTAAACGTGGAAAGTATAACTAATTGTGTGGAAAAACAGTAGTTTTTGTTAGAAGACCGAATGAGTTTAGTAGTGTATTATATAACAATTATTTTCTTATCTTTATTCCATATAATGAACATAACATCTAGGCTTCTTCACAGTTTTGCCTGAACATGTTTAACATGTAGAATTATTGCTTGGGTTTTTCATCATCCTCTGATTCTGTAATAATTAACAGTAGTGGTTGTTTATCTATGGTAGTATTTCCTTTGTCTTGTTTGTCCCCGTAGAAAGAAGGTCCAATTCTATCTATATAGATAGTTTTCTTCTTTCCATTTTTGTCAATGATAAAGTGTTTGGTTATCTGTTTGATTACTCGATAAGTTCCTTCCTATGGTCGCTTTAACGGATTTCTAACAGCGTGGACTCGGATAAAAATAAATTCGCACGTTTCTAGATGCTTGTCAAGCTGTACCTGACGACTATGTTAACGTGGAGGCATCACTTTGATTCGCTGT